GCGCTTTGCTGCCTGCCTGCCTCTCAAAGACAAGTGCTGCCTGATGTCACTTTCTGTCCCGTGTCTCAGCTCGCTGCCGTGGCTGCCCCCTTTAAACGCAGCAGCCACAACAGCACTAGCAGCAGCTGCAGCAGCAGCGGCAGCAGCGCACCAGCAGCACAAGAAGCAGACGGAGGAAGCGTTTCTGGATGCTGCGCAGCGTCTCACCGCAAGCGGGCTGCTGCAGCGGGAGGGGGAGCTGCAGCAAACGAAGCAGCAGCGACAAGATGAGCAAAGAGAAGGGCAGCTGCAGCAACAGTTGCAGCAGCTGCAGCAGTTGCAGCAGCACGACAAAGAGCAGCAGGACCAGGAGCAGCAGCAGCAGGACAACGCAGACTGCGTTTCGCAGCAGCAGCAGGGGCAGCCTCAAGAACGACTGCAGCAGCGGCCTCAGGGCGAAGCCTTGCTGCAGCAGGAAGCAGCGCAGCAGCAGCAGGCGGCGAGCCCAACAATGAGCAGCAAACAAGTGCAGCTAGCTTTCTTCTGTCTGCAGCACGAGCTGCTGAAGGCATGCAGGCGGCGGCTGCTTTGCTGCTGCTACTCTGCTGCTCTTTCTGTCTTTTTTGTGGGTGCAGAGGACGGCACCATCACTGTGCTGCAGCTGGCAGCTGCTGCTGCGCAGCAGCTGCACCCCACAGCAGCAGCTGCTGCTACTGGCCTGGGGCTGCTCCGCAGCAGCACCCCACAGACGCAAGGCAGCAGCAGCAGATCTCGGACACTTTCGGTTTCCTTCGGGAGCCCTTTGGGGCTGCAGTCTTGGCGTGGCGGCTTTAGCGGCGACAGCAAAGCAGCAGCAGCAGCAGCAGCAGTCGAGCAGCAGCTGCAGCAGCTAAAAGTGCCCAGCCTTCCTCGAGTCATTTACTTCGTCAAGGAAGAGCCAGTGGACGTCCTGTGCCTCCTCTCTCTAGCGCTGCCGGTGAGTAGACAGGACGGCAGCAGCAACAGCAGCAGCAGCAGCAGCAGCAGCGAGGGCGTGCAGCAGCCGGTTTTATTGGCAGCAGGTCGCAGCGGCAGCTTGCTGCTGCTGCATGCAGCGACTACCGAGATTGTGTCCTCTTTAATAGTGCAAAAAGGAGGGCTGCTCTCAGCAGCAGATGTTGTTGCTGCTGTTGCTGCAGATGAGCGCAGGCTGCTGCTCTTCTGCTGCCACCGCAGTGGGGCAGTACGTTTGCTGCAGCTGCAGCAGTGCGACAGCAGCAGCTGCAGCAGCAGCTGCAGTAGCAGCTGGGGGCTTCATCTCGCTCTGCTGCTCTCCTTAGCAGCAGGAGAGCCAACGCCACCTGCAGCACCGCCGTACTTGCCCGTCATGGCTCTCGAAGGCAGGTTGCTGCAGCAGCAGCAGCAGCAGCAACAGCAGCAGCAGATGCAGCAGAGACACCACCAGGAGAAGCAGCAGCTTCAGCGGCAGCTCAGCTGCATTGCATCCAGCAGCAACTTTCGACCGCGCGGCATTCAGAGTCCTGGTTTGATAGCAGAGCACGTGACAGAGCAGCAGCAGCAGCAGCAGCAGCAGCAGCAGCTCTCTGACAGCAGCACTGAGCGCAGCAACACCTGCGCGTTTTATTCAGGTGTCTCTTCCACACACAGCGCATGCGTAGATAGCGACCGCCGGCTGCTGCTGCTGGGCAGCAGCAGCAAGCCTGGGGTAGTTGCCGTCTTGCAGTACAATATCAGCAGCAGCAGCGGCAACAGCAGCAGCGCAGCAGCAGCAAACGTGCGGCTTGTGACTCGATTCAAGTGCCTCGCAGAGCCTGTCTCGTGTCTACTTGTGTGGAGAGAAAGGGGACTTTTGGTTGTGGGGGGTGTAGAGGGTGCGCTGCTGCTGCTACTGCTGGATGCCTTGCTGCCAGGCATGCAAGCAACAGCGGCAGCAGCAGCAGCAGCAGCAGCAGCAGCAACAGCAGCTGCTGCATCGGGGGCCAGCATGATGCCTCCGTCAGAAACACTGGAGCCTTTGCAGCCCGCTGCTGCTCCCGCT